CGGAGTCAATGAAGATCCATCCTGTATTCCATGTGTCTCTTCTTGAACCATATAAGACAGTGGATATACAAGGAAGAAGACAAATGCCACCGCCTCCTATAGAAGTAGATAATAATGAAGAATTTGAGGTGGAAGAGATATTAGACTCAAGGCGGCGCCGAAATAAGCTGAAATATCTTGTTCATTGGCGCGGATATGATATTAGTGAACGCACATGGGAGCCATCCAGGAATCTAGCAAATGCATCAGCTAAAGTCAAAGTTTTTCATCAACGACATCCATCAAAACCAAGATGAAAATCTCTCTTATAAAAGAGACAAGATTGAGGCAAGATAACATTCAATTTCCTATCCTTGTTTGTAACTTCTTTACATTTGTGATGCTAATTAGATGGAGAGCCAACAACCAGCGGATTCAACTCAAGAACCTTCGTTTGCTGACCTGCCGGACGAGACATTACGATTGTCACAACCTTCAAGACGACGCAATCGAGATGAAGATCTTCAAGAACGACATGTTCTTCCTCGAACAGATGGTGAGATACAACGCGTTTGGTATCATGATTTGGAAAGGAACTCCCGATGTTTGGTGATTTTGCTAGAGGTAGGAACAACTCCTGATGGTGTTCCGAATATTCTATTCGAAGGAAGTTATGAAGGCCTCAATAATGATCAAATAACTGGGTGGTCTTCCCACCCTGGTATGGGACACTACCGATGGTTGAGAGGCCCTATCAATCATCTTCGAAGAGAACAGAGATCAAAGTATGTGGCGAATACAATTCGTCGCATCATAGATTTCCTCAACATATGATGACCGCTCTTCGTGGAACTCGTCTCTAGAAGGGGGGGTAATGTCACGGCCATAATCATGTAAGCTAATAATTACATATAGAAATAGGTAGAAGTAAGTAAAAGTAGATAAAAGTAAGTTAATTATATAATATTTAATATAGAAGCTTCCTAGAAACTTCCTAGACGCTGCTTTGACTTCATAGGTGTCTTTAATTGACTTTTTGGATTAGAAACGTGGTCAACAAGTTGGCCATGTGCCACACATGTTGTTAGCTTGAAGATCAAGCTAACTATGTGGCCCACACGTAGAAAAACTTGCCTTGTAAGTCAAAGCATGTGTCCTACAAAGTCAACACATATTGGAGGTCCTATAGAACGTCGCCACGTAGCCCCTAGTTAGATAGTATATATAGAGACAAGAGTGAAGGCTTCTTCACTCTTGTCAACTCCTTTCTTGCTTCTAGTCCAGGTTCAAGAGTCTTTAGTTTCTTGTCTTGTGGCAATAGCCATTCCAGTTTTCTTTTAATATACCTACTTGTTTATATTTTGACTTATTATATCGAGATAGCCTTTTGGTGTATATTTTTCCTCATCGAGTCTTTGTCCTTGACAATTTTCTTGATTATCCTATAAAAACATTGCGTATAGATAATACCAAAGAATTTGCATCAAAGTCTTTTGAAGACTATTATACTGTAAGAAGAATTGAATTGACATATTGTGTTCCATATAAACATGCTCAAAATGGACTTGCAGAATCATTTATAAAGCGTATACATCTCATCACCTAGCCATTCTTCCTTCACACAAATTTACCTTCATCTATGTAAGATCATGTAGTTTTATATGTTGCAACATTAATATGCCTCCGCCCTTCTTCTCTTGAAATTGTTTTACTACATGAGCTCATTTTAGGTCGTGTTCCAAATATATCTCACTTATGAGTATTTGGTTGCCATGCTTGGATTCTAGTGCCAGAACCTCAACGACATACCATTGGAGCTCATGGACAAGAAGGCATATATGTTGGTTTTGATTCACCAAGCATTATTCGTATTGTTGATCCATCAACTGGCACATTATTACGTGCATGTTTGTAAAATTACCGTTTTGAAGAAAATGTATTCCCATCTCTTCAAGGAGGAGTATTCAATCAACAAAGAAATAAAGTACTCATATTTGAAGCACCAAAAATATTTACAATGAATCTTGATCCTATGACATCTTTGATAGAAACTGAAATTGCTAAGATTTTATATCTAAAATGGATCGCAGATAAAACATGTGATGGCTTCAATAATGCATCTAGAATTACAAGAGTTCCTATTAATGAGGCTTAAAATGTACCTACTCAGATTGCAGTGCTATTGACTACAATACCTCAAGTTATAATAACAACAACTAAAAGAACTTGTGGACCAGATAAGCAACCACGTAAGAAGAAAGCTATAAAATTAACTAATCTTGGTATTATTTCTCAAGAAATTGTCACTCATCCTGTAGGACTACCAATTCATGATGATATATCCATACATAATATACCTTCAATTCCTATGAAAAAAAATCTTAGAATTGGAAAGAATAAGAACAAGTTGAGTAAAGAATTATTTATTCTGTATTGTGTTATAGATGATATTTGGAACAAACCATCTATTACGATAGATGAATCATTTGCATATATGATTATAGAAGCCCTTTCTTATAAAGAAGACGATCCTGAACCTCAAACCATCGAGGAGGCAATGCGTCGCACTGATTGGTCAAAATAAAAAAACTGCTATTGATGAGGAGTATGCCTCTTTGTGTAAGAGGAAAGTCTTTGGTCTAATTGTACACACTCTTACATCTCGCCTTGTGAGATATAAGATGGTATTAATATGCAAGCGAGATGTTGAAGGTGAAATAACCCACTATAAAGCTCGTCTTGTTGCTCAAGGATTTACTCAACGATTTGGCGCTGATTACAAATCCACATATTTTGCAGTCATGGATTCAATTACATTTCAATATATTATTGGAATGATAGTTCATGCCACCCTTGAAATGCATCTGATAGATGTAGTAACTGCATATCTATATGGTTCTCTTGATGCAAATATTTATATGAAAGTTCCACCTGGCTTAGAAACAGGAATTCCAAATGTTCTCCTTGAAGACAATATCGTGGTATTAAATTATATAAGGCCTTGTATGATTTAAAAAAATTTGGATGCATGTGGTATCAATATCTTTGAGATTATTTAATTATAAATAAGTTTATAAGTGATCCACTAATCCCTTGTTTATTTATCAAATAAGATAAAACTAGATTTATAATCATTGTTGTATATGTTGATGATCTTAACCTAGTGGGCACTACATCTGCATGTGTTAAAGCTACTAACTTACTTATACATGAATTTGAGATGAAAATGTTAGAAAAAATAACTTTCTGTATTGGTCTTCAAATTATGCATCTAACAGATGGTAGCATTTTTTTCTACCAATTAACGTATATTAGATGAATCTTGTGAAGATTTAATATGATTGATACTTATCCATTGTCCACACCAATGGTTGGACATGGTTGTGATGGTCATGATCCATACCGTCCATACAAGGAGGAGGAGAAAATATTGGGAGATCAATATCCATATCTCACAATGGTTGGAACAGTTTTATATTTAGCTACATCTACAAGATCAAATATTATATTTGCAGTTAGTGTTCTTATAAGGCATAGTGCACATCCAACACTACGACATTGGAATGGCATCAAATTTTTATTACATTATTTAATAGATATTGAAGACTTGCGATTATACTATACATAATTTGTAGATTCAAAATTAGTTGGATATTAATATGCAGGATATAAATCTAATACTGCAATAGCTAAATCTCAAATAGGATATGTATTTTTAAGACATAGAGCTATAGTATTATGGAAATCAGTGAAACAAATAATACCTGCAACTTCATCCAACCATGTAGAAATTATTGCCTTACATGAAGCATCTTGAGAATGTATTTGGTTGTGATTAATTGCTAAATTCATTCAAACAACGTGTGGATTTTCATATGATGATTCTCTAACTATCTTGCATGAAGATAATAGTACTTGTATTGCACAGATGCAAGTTGGTTTCATTAAAGGCAACAAAATAAAGTATATTGATCCAAAGTATTTTAATTATACTCATAACTTGATTATTGATCAAACACTTATAATTAAAAAAATTGAATCTACAAATAATCTTGCTGATCTCTTCACCAAAGCTCTCCCATTAAACAACCATCGTCAACTTACTTATGGCATTGGTATGCGGCGACTTGCTCTTCTTATATAAGAAAGTTAATGAGCTCTTTAAATAATTAAAGAAAATGATGTTGTACTCTTTTTCCTTCATCTATGGTTTTGTCTTTAAATACAATAAGGTTTTTCTACATAAGGTTTTAATGAGGCAACAATTCTTGATCTTGCAAGATTACATAAAAGTATAGATCATAATTCTATACAAATTTTATATTATGTAAATATTATGATGAGCGAGGAGAAGTGTTGAGATCATTAAATGTAGCCGGTGCTCTCCATAATATTTATTGTAGACTATAGTAAATATTGTAGCTATAGTATTTAGAGTCTAGTGGAGAAGTATTGTTTATCCTCTCCCCTTTCTCTTCTTGTATACAAGACACAATCAAATCAATAGATTTTATGTGTGGAGCTCTCTCTCTTTAGAAACACTCTTCTGTGTATGACTTACTACTACTCTTGTACGTGTGTATTACTTACTATTACTCTTGTGTCTTTCTAAACATTCTCAACAAATAGAGCCATATGTTACATTTACTTGTAGTCATCAATTCTTTAAGTGTTGTGTATACAAATATATATATATATATATATATATGTTTGAATACTACACTTGTACCACTATCTTTGAATTTTTCAAAAAGAAAAAAAAAATAAATAAATAAAGAGATTTAGATCAAGCATTCAAAAGAGGCGTAACACCTTTCATTTCTACCTTTCCTATTGGGCACAAGCAATGGACCACTTTCATTGAATGGAACGTAGATGGGAACGTCACAGTTCCCGCTCCATGCCGTAACTGACTTGGCACGGTGGACCGCACAAACGCTACGCAACAAAAGACGAGAGGAAGGAGAGGCGCCGAGCCCCAAGACCGCGGGGGAAATATCGAAGGGCTTGCTCTCGTCGCGTCGACGATGACGGAGGGGTAGGGTGATAGACGCGGAGCCGGCGGCCATGGCGATGGCGATGGCGAGGGGGGCAGCCCAATGCTGCTGATGCGAGCGAGCGAGCGCCTTATAACGCCGGCTCTCTGTAGAGGTTGTTTTCTGTGTACATGTCGAGCGGGGCTTCCCAGAGATCCGCCCGTCGCGTACCATGGCAAGTCGTGGAGCCGTCAACATGGTGTGCGCTCTGGCCATCGTTTTGATGGTCTGGGCAATGTCGTTGTCGTTGTGCATGTCTGCGGATGTGGAGGTGGTCAATGCGTCGTTTTCGTCTGTCGTCGGTGGGGCGAAGACGGGAAAGAGCGGAGTGGTGCCAGCGAATGGAAGCCCCGAGTACTTAGCGCTTTTCGTGGAGGAGACCCGGTGGTACAACGATCTGGTGCTCGGGCCCTGGCTGCCCTCCTCTGTCCGCGACTCCATTCCCCACACATTGCAGACATGGCTGCGGAACTACGTCGCGGGCATGCTTTTGTATTTCGTCTCCGGTGGCCTGTGGTGCCTATACGTCTACTCGTGGAAGGGAGAGCATTTCTTCCCTGCAGGTTAGTCAGAGAGCAATGTTGTCCAGCGCTGGTGCACTTCGCCTGGGATTTGAGAGTGGGGATAAAGAAAGGAAGAACAGAGGAGGGATGAGCTGTCGTGCATGTTAGTGTGGCGTGTTTATTCTGGAACTTCTAGCGTGGTCTAGTTTAGAATGGAGAGATTATCGGCTTAGGCTGTAGATTTTCAGGTTTTAGCAGTGCTGTAGTGTGCGTGGGACGGGTCAGGTAGGTTGGGCTCGGAATCGTGCATGGATTTCATTGAAATCGGCTTCTGGAATTGAGGCTTTACCATAGCGCGTGCGTTAAGTTTGTTGCGGCAGAGATTGTTTAGGTCTGGCACTCAACAAGAGCCTCCGGGCAGAGATGATGTAGTCACGAAGTCAGAGTATTCGTTCGACCGTAGCCATTTTGTCACAGAAGTTGGCACCCCGAGGGTTGGTAGCACTAAATAACTTTGTTAAGTTTTCCTCGTGAGTGGTAATGGAATTCACATCATGTATAGGTTATTTTACCCATGAGATAAACACTGTTTGCTCGTAAATGAACATTCTGTAAATTATTCGAATTCATTCAAGTTTGTGATTCATTGAGTTCTTCGAATCCTTGAGTTCTGCGATCCATACAAGATTTGAAACTTTCTTATACAGTTTTTTTGCTCCTGGTTGATTCCTGACAACGTTTCTATTACCCAGAAAGTCGCCTCCTAATCTCCCCGAGGGATACTTTGTAGAATCTGGATTGAAAATTCGAGCGGATGTTTGCATGAAGGACTCCCGAGTTTCCTTCACATGCAGTTTCAATGTAACAATGTTAGGTCTTTGTTTGGAATGTCCTTCGCTAACATTACGGGGTTTAAAGTTTAGTACATATTAATTTGTTTTCTACGATAGAGCAGTCATTTCATTGAACCTATGTCGGCGTATATTTGTCTTCGCTACTTTGTTTCTCCACGGAGTTTCCTGTTTTCGGTGTAGATTGCTCAGAGTTTGCTGTCGAATTTTTTCTCAGGTGACATACCCGCGAAGGAGCCCATAATGCTCCAAATCTGGGTAACTATGAAGGCTATGCCAGTATACACAGGACTTCCCACTCTGTCCGAATATATGATTGAGCGGGGGTGGACCAAGTGTTTTGCGCGTATCGAGGATGTTGGGTGGCTCACGTATGTAGGCCTAGTCATCGCCTACTTGGCAGTGGTGGAGTTTGGTATCTATTGGATGCACAGAGAGCTTCACGATATTAAGCCTTTGTACAAACATCTGCATGCTACCCACCACATCTACAATAAGCAAAACACGCTATCACCGTTTGCAGGTGCGGTACATAGCCATGGACACTATCTTTTTATTTTTATTTTTATTTTTAATTCTAAGATGAAATACATTGGATTAATGTTTATAATTTTTTTGTGATTTGGTTAACTTGCACCTTGTATCCAAAGTACTTGACAAGCAACGTGTGACCCCCCTCTCCAACCGTATTGTGTTATAGATTCCGAGGATGAGTCGAAAGTGAATTTTGGTCCTACGTCTAGATTTACCATTACAGTTATTCAGTTTGGTCCTTAGAGTCGCGGTAGGTAGCACTTTGAAGGTCCACATACTTTTTGTTGATATGATGGTGTACCATGGTGTTCCTCATCATTGTATGGTATGTTGCAGGTTTGGCGTTCCATCCGATTGACGGAATCTTGCAAGCATGTCCCCACGTTATTGCATTATTCTTGCTGCCAATGCATTTTTTCACTCACGAGGTTTTACTATTTTGCGAGGGAGTTTGGACAACCAACATCCATGACTGTATTGATGGGAACGTCTGGGGCATTATGGGAGCCGGTTTTCACACCATTCATCACACAACTTACCGACACAACTATGGCCACTACACAGTGTTCATGGATTGGCTATTTGGCACTCTGCGAGACCCTTATGAACGGAAAGCAACTGCGCACGTGAAGTCTTCTTAAGGACCCGCTGGAACTGACCTGACAATTAGTGACCCAGTTTTGATGTTTTCACACGCGGTGCTCCTAGATGACTATCGGCACATCAACAATTATTTGGTACTCGGTTATTTCAATTTCTTTTAGTCATTTGGGGTGCTGTGAATGGAAAAGCACTTAGTAAACCTCGTTCTCCTTTCACGTCCTCAACCCTCCTCAAGTCTGAGGGGTCTTCATCAATCAAGGCCATCTTGGTGAGCTCCTTTGCTCTGACATGTATTCATAATGTTCAATAGAGATCGCATGCAGAAGTAAGAAATAAGAAATAAGCAATTCCTGTGTTCAACCATATACTGTAGTAGTGTCGATGATTAGCTAGATAAGTATAATTTATACTTGTCGATGATAAGCTGTCAGATTTTTAAAATCAAAGAAGAGCGTAAGTTTCTCAATAATTCGTGACTGTACATTTGGAAAGGAGTATTCTGCTACAACAGAAACGTAACTTATTTAAATAATCACCAAGTATCTTTTCCTACTCATGTTAATTCATGTGTTACTGCTTAAGTCGAATCTTTTTTTCAAGTGTTATCAATTTCATTAATGTTATCTTGACTAGTTAACCCTTCATACACATTGTCGAATTCTTTTTGAAGAAACACAATTCTCATGGCAATGCATGAAGTTTCAGCAACGTTAAACTACTGTTTGCAGTGAGCACTAATCATATTTCGAATCCAATTTAACATTTTAATGAAAAAATTACTTCTTAAATCTGAACACAAACTACGAATTCACATTGAGAAAATATTCTCCTGCTCGTGTCATGCTTATTTTTATACTTGAAACCTAATTTCAGTACGTACGTCGCAACTAATGGAGATAGTTCTTTTCTGATTACTACTGATCACTTACTTGTACATATATGCATACATACCACACAATTGCACTCGATTTGGTGGACTTGAGAATAGTCAAGAATCTAAAATTTGAAGGATAGCATTATGATTTTAATGGTCGATTTGGTGCTAAAACTTGCTTAATACACTAACCATTTATAAATTACATGTCGATTGCATGGAAATCATCAAATTTGTAGTGTCATGTAATATGTTCATATCTACCACCAATGAGTCCATTGATTTTAAAGACAGTTACATTATTATTTTAAGAACACAAATACAATAGGATATTTACATCATTTAAAATATCTTAACACAAAATTATGTTGTATAATCTGATTTTGATTAGCATTATCATACTTGCATATAAAATACTTTCAATTTTATTTGATTTCGAATTTTTTGATTTAAATACAAGCAAAGCTATGATTCAAAATTTACAAGTCTGTAAAAATTTGCAAAACGAAAACCATCAAATTCATTGTTAGATTTATAGTAGTACAAAAAAATACAATTCTTTTCGAATAATTAGTATTTACTGTATTTAGAGAAAAAACACATGCCCAGATGTGAATTTTGTTCCAAAACCATTGTTTCCTATATCAAACAAATCTTGGCCGTGAAGATTCCGGGTCAGTGGAGACATTGGGGATGTTCATCACATACAAGTCGTAAGTAAAACACACTCTACGCATGTTTGACAAAAAAAAAATAAAAATAAAAATAAAAAAAGAAGGAAATAAGAGAAAGAGTGATATAACAGAATTTTAATGAAATTCTGTTTTCATTAAAATAAAATTAAAACATTCTTTGTCAATATGGAAGGAGAAAAATGATTAAAGCCACATCTCTTCTCATTTACGTCTAATTGGTGATAAACAGGGCAAACTTCCTGAAGAAGCAGTTGCTAAACACCATGATTCACATTATGCACGCAGACAAGGTTGTCGAGCTTCATGTTTCAAGAATAGTTCATTAAAATTCGTGATCACAATGTGTCCAAGGACTGACTTATGGAAGAAATTAGAGGTGATATTGTGGAAAGGTTCAGCGATTGCTTCGAAGGGGGACTAAGTGTTGACTTCTCCAAGAACTTCATGTCGACTGGTGAGATCCTTGATTATTACAGCGGTGATGCGCTTGGCTTTAGTGCGGCTCGGCAGATGCTCTCGGTGTAATGCTACAGCCCTCGTGTCGCGATAACGTCCATGCAGAACATGGCCATAATCATCTGTTTGAACTTGCACAGTTATTAAAATGTCGGATTTGGAGAGATGCTGCTACATCTGCTGAGTCAGACAGCTTAATCGAATTTTGTCACGGGTTTGTGATACCATGCGGAGTTTGAAGAGCACAATTATTGAGTGAAACCAAGAAATAAATCAAGAATCATGCCACACTCTTTAACACGTAGTAAACAGTTATCGAAAATCGATTTCCTCATGCAAATTTTCTTAAAGAAACACGGTTTCCGTGATAAGTGCACTTGACAAACCACAAAAATGATGCACAAGGAAGAAGTGATGAACAAGCCTGTATCGGCAATCTCTGATACCTCGTAATAAAATCATGACACGATTAGTAACAGTCAATGCTACCAGCTAAAAGAACTAAGGATATGACGAGAGTGCCTACTTCAAAACAAGTTCCTCCGCTCCTCCGTTCGTGAAAACGTCGAACATCCCTACAAATACAGCTCAGACTTAGTGTTCTCTTCGATCCTATACATCGCAAAGTTCTCTACCAGCCGAAAAGGAATCAATGAATGCTCTCTTAATGCCCAGAGTGCTTTCGCAGCAGCCACTGAGTCCCAACGCAAGAGTATTGAAACACTGACCACCGAGAATGCCTTCCAACGACATCAACCAGTTTTCATGATCGCTCTCTTCAATTCATCAATCCAGAGCAAACAGCCAACAAAGAAAGCTCGCACAGCAAGGAATCGCGAAGAAGACGATCTTCCTCAACTCATATCTGATGGCCGATCACTGTCTTGCTATGATGCTGAACACATAACACAAACTCACACGGAGACGGAGACATAACTTCGAGGTTTGTGCTTCGATGGGAGATCCTCTTGTGTTTGTTGCTTATTAATAAACCATGTTTTATAACACCATACCAAAAAGCTAATGTTGAGAAGGATCACAATTGTAAATTAGTTTGATTTGAATGATATTTACAAATTGGAATTGTAAATAAAGACTTTGCATTTTACAATACTATTTTATTTTATAAACTAATTAAATCATGAAAAATTAAATGAAGAGTTGATTTACAAAGTATTATTGGCATTGAAATAGGATTTTTTTATTTTATTTGTTTATACATATATATATATATATATATATATATATACTATTTTTAGTGAGAATTTATTCAAAATATACTACTAGAAGCCTATGATGTTGGACACTCAAAAGTTCTAAAATCTTAATTTGTAGTTGATAAGCTGAAAATTGACCACTCCTAAAGAAATATTGACCAATAAAAAAAGATATATTTATTTATTCTCATAACAATGCAACTATTTATGATTCTTAAGTGTTATTGACAAACATAATTCTTATTTACTACAACAACTAAAATAGCCAAATTAAAAGAATTTTGAGATAAACTAAATTTATGGTGGTGTTTTTGTCTTTATTATCTTTAAGATGAAGATTCTTGATCATTTTCAAAGAAGTGTATAGTGAAAGAACAATATATAACTATCTATGTATTAATATGGGGGTTCTAAGATCTATTCCTACATTCTTTCAATGATTGTTGTTGGAATTTGTTAATGGTCATTGCAAATGCCACCTTTATAAGAAACTACCTTTGCTACAACTTGAATGGATACATCATCACTACTCTCTCTCTCTCTCTCTCTCTTCTTCTTCTTTTTTTTTTCTTTTTTTTTTTTTTTGCTTTAGACAATCTTTCATGAATTAATCAATAAGTAGGAAAAATATGTGGTGCTCACTCAAATAGTCTTAAAGCTCCTACATTATTTGGGATGACAAGTAGGCATTACCAATCATCTTTCTTTTATGTGCAATATTGGATTTAAAAATACAAAGCTACATATAACTTGCTTCTATATCTTATTTTAATAAAAGAATATTTATTTGAAGCCAAAGCTTTCTAAGTATGTAAAAGCTACATAGACCATATTATTGCAAGAGAATATTGTTGATTTTTATACTAAAAGAAGTAAATGTTTGTATTTCATTATATTATAGAATACTCTTTCAAAACTACTTTGTTTATCTTATTTGTGAAATAGCTATCTAATTAACAATAGAAGTTCTTCGAGAAGCAAAAGTTTAATCTTTTTATGAAGACAACATATATCAAATTATAGATTTAATTTTATTAATGGTATGTATTGTCATCCATCCAAAGGTTTGTTCATTTTTCAATCCTATATATAACAATATTATCTATCAGCTATAAACAAATCAATGAATGCTCTCTAAGTGCCTAAAGTACTCTTGTAGCTATCATTAAGTCCAAATGCGCAAGTATTAAAATATCAACTATCAAAAATGTCTTTCAATGGTGTCAACTAATTTTTATAATTACTCTCTTTAATTCATCAATCAAAAACAAATAGCCAACAAAAAATACTTGCACAACAAGAAATTGCAAAGAAAATGTTCTTTCTTAACTCATATCTGATATCCTATCATTATCTTACTACAGTATTGAACACATACATACACACATGCACACATATAAATATAAATTCATATAAAGACAGACACAAGGGCATAACATCAAGGTTTGTACTTTAATAGAAGAGTCTCTTGTATTTGTTGCTTGTATATAAACTATGTTTTATAATACTAGACCAAATAGTCAATGTTAAAAACAATCAAAATTGTAAATTAGTTTGATTTGCATAATATTTTCAAATTAGAGTTGTAAATAAAGATTAGATAACTTAAAAACGTTACATTTTTTATTTTATACCACTATTTTATAAATTAATTAATTTATAAAAATTAAATACTAAATATTAAAATAGGTTCTATTTTAAATTTTAAATTTTTTATTATTTATTTATTTTTCAAAAATTATGTTATAATTTAGTATTAAATAATACATGTAGATATCTAAGATGTTTTTGTAAATTACATATAATAGATATTTTTTTGCATAATCAAAGTCCATACTTTATAAATATATATTAGCAAAATATATATATATATATATATATATATATATATATTAGCAAAATTTTACTTATATATTTAGTAAATATTATAATAATATGCCTCTTGGTATAAAAGTGTGATCCTTGATTATGTACTTAAAATATTTTATCTCCAATTACAATCATATCTTAATCTAGATATTCTTACTAATAATAATAGAAAATTAGTTACAAGTGATTCTTTACCTTCAAATTTTATTTATAATAAATATTCTACCAATAATCCAATTCATTAATTTTAATATGACTTGGCATCTCAATGAAGAAAATAATATAATAATAAATCTAATTAATTTATATGCTTAACTTTCTAAATTATCTTACATTTTTAAAAAGACGATTATTTAAAACTTTCACAAACTTTTTAGCATCCAAGCAAATATTTTAACAAGTAAAAAATCCTTACAAAAGACTTAGTGTATGTATAAAAGGAAAAAAAAACCTCTTAAATCAGATCCTAAAATTAAGAAATAAAATTTGATCAGTAATATAAACAACAAACATACTACTTTAAAACAAGCTTTAGCTGATATTTATGCCAAAGAATGAAAATTTGCTATTGATTCTAAAATTTAATTTTTATTTCAAAATAAAGGCTTAGCAAATAATTCCACTTCCTAAAGGATGTAAATCTATTATATCTAAAGAATTTTTTTTTAAGCTAAATATTATGTTGATAATATTTAAAACTTTTATTTCAAAGTTATTATATGGATATTAATAATACAATCTCTACCTCTCTCAAAGTTGATAAAAAATTATCAAAATAAAATTGTATAAATGATGGGCAATTTGTATTTTGAGTTATTTGGTAGTTTATTTTATTTAAAGGTTTGTACTTAAGCTGATATGATATTTAATATTAATAATTTATGATAATATTTATCCAATCCTAGATCTATTATAGGCAAGAATTTTAACAAGTTATGCAATACATAAAGAGAATCCACAATATTACTTATAAAAAATCATCCACATGCCATCTTTTATATGGTTACTTCAATGCAAATTGGACCAGTTATCAAAATATAAGGTATTACACATGATGCTATCGGTTGCTTCTTATAAGAGCAATAATCTCTTAAACTAATAAGAAAAAAACTTCAACATCCTTTTATAGTGCTAAATCTAAATATACAGATTTATCTAAGGTAGGTCTTAAAGTAGTATGGTCACAAAGATAATTAAATAATCGAGAATTTTCTCAATAGGAACCTATTACAATTTATGTTGACAACCAAAGTAACATACATTTAGGTCTTAATCCAAAATCACATTATTAAAATAAACATAGAAAAATATAATATCATTTTATTTCTAAAATAATTTGAATAAGTACTATATATATATATATAATTTTAATAAATATTTTAATCAAGAATCTATCTTAGGAAAAACATCATAAATTTTTAAATGATCTTGGTTTATTTTTTTTTATTAATATCTAAAAATTCTCTAATCTTTCAACTAACTTGTAATATTGAAAAAACTTCACATTTCCTAAGTTAGAATTTATTTTAAGTTTTATTATTCAATAGCTTCAATTCTTTCATTGGAATAGGAATCTTATTATATATCATTGATTCCATATCAAAATTTGAATTATATATAATATAAATAGTATAGAATATATATAATAGAAACTTATTTCTAAAAAATATTAATTAAATAAAAAATTAATTATTTTGAATACTATATATATATATATATTTATTGTAGCAAATAATTAATTTTATATTTAATAAATAGTATAATAGTATGTCTTTTGGTACAAGGACGTGGTTATAAGAAAGTGATCCTTGAATCTGTACTTAAGATATTTTATTATAAAGAATTTTAATTCAACCCAACACTTTTATAGTCTTCTCTCTTGTTCACTAAATAATAAAACTTTAACAATAGTTCATCTTTTTTCAAACAAAATATATTACTGTTACTATATTGTCTCAATTTAATTTCTATATACATCAAATCTCAATCAATTTTATTAAAAAAAGTATAAAAATGATAAAATTTTCAAAATTTGTATAAAAAGAATTATAAAAGAACATACATAGTTTAATCACAATTTTATTATTTTTTTTATTTTAAAGAATAAATAAATATAATTAAATATTCAATAAATACAAACAAAACTATATTTTATAAAAAAAACTAGTATATTGATTTTTTTAACATCTATTTAGATAATTTTTAGTATTTCTTTTTATACTTCATTTAAAAACAAACAGAATAATTGTATAAGATAGAAAGTTCTTATATTATTCTATGTTGGAATCTTAAACAAAAAAGGAATATAATAAAATAATTTAAAAAGTATTTATTTTAATCATATAAATTAATATTTTATAATTATTTATAATAAATCATTTTAAAACTTATTGATAAAAAATTAAAATTTTAGATGCATAAATAAAGAATAAAAAAGACATATTTCGTTGGTAAATCTTTAAAAAATAAATTATATAGAAACTATCCTCATGCAAATTTATACTAGTATATTTTTAATATTTAAATATCTGATAAATATGTCAATAATATAATAAAAAATACGTAATAATAAAACTTATTTTATACATAAGATATAAGTTTTTTTTAAGATTATAATAGTTTATAATTTAATAGGTTTATTACTAAGTACAAATCTATGTGTATTTTTTAAAAATAATAGGAGATTTATTTTAAAATAATTTTTTTTTTAATCATTGTCTACTAAGAATTCTTATTTAAATCTTACCATTTAAAATAAAGATGTATATTATTAAAAAAATGTAATTTTATTTTATTTCTTTAATTTATTTAGTTGAAAAGGTAAACTTTTTTGGTTGATTTCAATAGAGTGTCAACTTAGTAAAATAATCCTCT